CACCAACAGTCACACCACATGTCTATGTCGATTCAAATCCTTTATATCAAACGAGGGAGATGGCATGGAGAGGGCAGGCACCCTCTGGGGTCAGGACAGACAGAAGCTTATCTATGTCTTATCCTAGACACTGGGTGGTCAGCTTGGCTACAGAGTACAAGCCATAGACCAGAACCAGAAGAGTTAATGAGTGCAGTTCAGGCCCCAAAATAGTAGATGGGAATGGAGTAGGCTAGATACAGTGCTTCTCACACTTTACTATGCACACAAATGCCCAAGAATCTTGTTAAAATGCAGGTACTGATTGGGTAGGTCTGGGGTGGAGCCCAGTATTCTGACTTCTAACTAGCTTCCAAGTGATGCTGATGCTGCTGGTCCTCCAGCACACGTTGGGTGACAAAGGTCTGCAACCGACACAAAGGATCCATTCCCCCTGACCTCCTACTCTCAGAAAGGGTCTTCAGGTTAATGGTGAACCAGGGTATGATGTTTTCTAGGGGAAAAACAAAACAAAAAGAGCTGTGACATCAATCACAAGATTCTGTGTCAAGTGACTCAGGAACACGAACTGTGCACAGGATAGCTCAATCTGAAGTTTGGAGGTCAATGGTCAGGGCTACAGGACATCCCAAGAATCTCAGAGACGCTCTGAGCTGATAAGATCTTAGCCAACCCTTTTCCCAAGGAATAAAATCAGAAACCCTCAGCCGGAGGCAATCAGCACATACCTAATTTGATTCCTCAAATATCTGAGAAGCACCACTCAGGCCAGGCTCGGGGAATACAAAGAACTCCCAGCGCAAAATCAAAGAGCTGACTCAAATTAGAAATGTCCTGGAGCGCCTGGGTGGCTCAGTCAGTTAAGCATCTGACCTCAAGGTCTTGATCTCATGGTTTGTGGGTTTGAGCCCAGGTTTGTGGGTTCAAGCCCTGTGTTGGGCTCTGTACTGACAGCTCCCGGCCTGGAGCCTGCTCCAGATTCGCGCATGCGTGTGTGCGTGCGTGTGTGTCTGTGTGTGTGTGTGTGAGCCCCTCCCCTGCCCCTCAGCTGCTTATGCTCTCTTTCTCAAAAATAAATAAACATTTAAAAACACCCCAAAAAAACCCCAGAAAGAATAGAAATGTCCTCCAAATAAGGCACAAGAGATGAGAGATGATTTGGGACTTTGGGGGCTGTGATGAAATAAGGCCAGAGCCATTCAAAGCTTGGTTCAGCAAAGGATGTTTCCAGGAAAGCAACAGCCATGAAGTAATTTAGCCAGAGTCCTAAATTTTGGAAACTGCAACATATGTGTTATAGGTGTGTAATGACACCTCACAGTGCTGAGAAAATGAATTAAAAGTAGCTTAAAATGATACACTGTTTCACATTACTTCCAAGTGCTTTAGCTAACAATGAGAGACTTTTTAATGGCTCCCTACCTTCCTTCTTCAGGTAACCACAATATAATCCAGAAGGCCAACTCTGGACCTGATTCCATTTTCTTTAAAAGCTAACCTTTGAGGGATGCTGGCTGGCTGGGTAGGTCAGCCTACCGAGGAGCCTGTGAAGCCTGTGCCTCTTGGTCTCAGGATCGTGAGTTCTAGCCCCATACTAGGGGTAGAGTTTACTTAATAAATTTAAAAAGCTAAACTTTGGGTCAGATACAGGTCCAGATGCCAAGTTCTCTGCATCTTTCCTGTAATTCATGTAACATGTGGTAAAACGAAACCTAAAGTATATTTATTTAAGAATGTGTGCATGCCCCCAGAGGTCAACATGCCAGGCCCTGCCTGGTGAGTGGCTTTCTCCTGAGAAACTGCTCATTAAAACCATGCCTACAGACAGCCAAGAAGCTGTTCAGCCCGGGCTAGTTTCCCTAACAATGGTGCCCATATAAGGAATATGGCGACAGAACAGGATGGTAAGAATCTGTCTGTGTTTCTCCAGTGGCCCTCGAGAGAAAGGGTTCACTGTCTAGAAGTGGCACAGTAAGCCCCATGCCTGGACAGTCTGTCACTATAAAGGAGTGGCTATTTGGGGCTACCTGAATTACCAATGCTCTCCTAAGGGACTATAGGTATGAGAAGAAGGAAGGAAGTGCCTCAAACTAAGAGCATGGACACGTATGGGGAGGGATGTGAAATCGAGTGGACTCTATCAGGGGCACTTTTCCTTTATTTGTATCATTTGTATTTTTTAAAACAAAAATATAACCAACCACTATTTGTTTGCATAATTAAAAATAAATTTTAGGGGCACCTGGCTGGCTCAAAGAGTGCAACTCTTATTCTCGGGGCCATGAGTTTGAGCCCAACATTGGGTGTGGAAATCACATAAATAGCCACCTGGGTGGCTCAGTCGGTTAAGTGTCCCAACTTTGGCTCAGGTCATAATCTCACGGTCCATGAGTTTTCAAGCCCTGCATCGGGCTCTGTGCTGACAGCTCAGAGTCTGGAGCCTGCTTCAGAGTCTGTGTCTCCCTCTCTCTCTTTCTCTATCGCTCTCTCAAAAATAAATAAACAATGAGGTGCTTGGGTGGCTCAGTTGGTTAAGCTTCCACCTTCAGCTCAGGTCATGATCTCATGGTTCGTGGGTTCGAGCCCCACATCAGGCTCTGTGCTGACAGCTCAGAGCCTGGAGTCTATCTTCAGATTCTGTGTCTCCCTCTTTCTTTGACCCTCCCCTGCTCATGCTGTCTCTCTCTCTCTCAAAAATAAAAATAAATAAATAAACATTAAAAAACATTTAAAGGATATCACATTAATAAATGCTCTTTAAATAAAGATTTATAAAGTGCGAACAAATCAAAAGAATTTCAAAGCTCCCTTTGCCTTTATCCTATATTCATCAAACAACCTGATTTTGTTTGCCAAGAAGACTGAAAAAGAACACTTTGAGCATTCTCATCCACTTGCATGTCTCTTGGTAAAAATTAACAAGGTGCATTGTGCAGTACCATCTCTGGTGAGTTTGGTTCCTCTGACCCCAATCTCTCCTCCTCTGTCTACTCCTCCTGAACAGATTCCCCTCTTACCCTGTCACCCCAGGGATCTTTCAGAAATGCATACTGGATCTCACTAATACCCTCCCCTGCCCAAGGATAAAATCAACACGTCCTTGGTAAGACATGCTCAGTCCTGTTTACTCCAGTCAACCTCATCTCTTCCTGCTCCCCATGAGAACCACACTGAAGTACAGACTTGTCCTTCTCGATGAGCACCTGGCTTTCTGCCCATCCTGATACTCCTCCTAGAAAACCCTTTTCCTCTTCTCTGCTCCTTGAAATCCTCCATGTCCCTAGGGATTCAGTGGCATCAGCCACTGCCTCTACTTAATGCTCCCTGACTCCAGGCCACTGTGGAGGACTGGGATTCCAGCTCTGGACTTCCATATTATATACATAGGGCTTACCCCATAGTACAGCTGAACATACTGTTAACCTCTCCTTCGGTCTTTGATTTGGCATCCTTAGCACCTGGCCCACAGCAGGCACATCATCTATTAACAAAACTGAAGGAAGTTCCAATCCCCAAGGCTCTGGTATCACAAACTCACAAAACTGAAGATCTGAATTTTCAGAATAAACCACAGGGAAAGTCAGTCGGCTTATCTTTCTCCAGCCATCCACTCCCTGTCCCCTGAAATGCCTGTGCACTGTGCCTGAGGTGCCCTTAACGCATCCCTAGCCTGGACTGCAATGGATAAGGTAAGGGCCAAGGGGCTGGGCCTCTGTCCCTAGACCTCCTGGGAGTGATAGCAAAGAGGGAACCCAGCCCTGACCACCTCATCAGAGAAAATTCTAAACATCTGTTGATTCTAAACATCTCCCTTAATCTGTTAACATAGTTCATAACATTCATTGACTTTTTTTTTTTAAGTTTATTTATTTTTGAGTGCATGCGAGTGGGGAAGGAGTGGGGGTCTAGATAGAGGATCTGTACTGACAGCAGAGAGCCTGATGCAAGGCTCAATCTGACAAACCTCGAGATCATGACCTGAGCAGAAGTGGGATGCTTAACTAACAGAACCACCCAGGCGCCCCCATTGATTTTTTTTTTTTTTAATATTTAACTAATTTTGATTTCTGGAATAAATCCACCGTTAATGAGGAATTATTCTTTTTACACATTGCTAGACTCAGGATCATAATATTTTATAGAAGACTTCTATATTTATACTCATGAATGACGTTGGCCTATAATTTTCTTTCCTTGTATTTACCAGATTTAGATCAAGGTTATACTAGCTTTTTTTTTTCAATCGTCTGGAAGAATTTTACACAAAGTAAACCTGGAAACACTTATTCCCTCAGTGTTCGGTAGAATTCACCAAGGAAGCCAACTAGGTCTGGAGTTTTCTTTAAGGGAAAATCTTTTACTAATTCACTGTCTTTTTAATGATTATAGGCTATTTTGATTTTCTAGTTCTTATAAGAATCAATTTTGGTAAATTATATTTTTCTAGGTAAGTCCAAATATTTGACTTACAAAGACAACTGATATCTGGAATGTTGACCCTGAGGTGAACTCTGTAAGAAATGAAGTGCCTTGTGATTCATAGAATGACAGCTTACATCTGTACTGTATATTACAGTTTATACAAGTACTGCCCATATATTATCTCATTTGAAGATCAAGGTCTCGGTGCCTTCTGTGATTTTTGGTGTCTGATTATTTGCCAAGGGATGGATAAGTTCTTATTTAGCAGAATCATCTGATTCAGATCAACACCCTACTGCTGGCCATGCTGGGAAATTTTGTGGAGGCCTATGCAACTATTGAATTCCTCACTTCACTCCTGGGAATCACTTGTCATTAACAAGGCAGCCACCAAGAGCTTTGGGAGAGTCGATATTAGAGTATGGGTGAGTATTCTGAGTTCACAGAAACCTTCCCTAAAGCCAGGCTGGGAATGTTAAGTCTGGGGGCTGGCATGTTTACTAATACGGGTCCCCAGGCCACGTGGCCTGGGACGCAAAGTACAGCGCGGGAAGGGGTGGAGAGGGAAGCACACTCACCAGGGCCTCAAAGTCCTTGCAGTCGTGGCGGGCGTACGACGCAGGGAAGGGCCGCAGCACCGAGTCGCGCTTGTAGCTCTGCAGCGCGGAGGCGAAGAGGCTGCAACGGAGGTCAGCGGCCAGCATGTCGCGGTCCACCGCCTCCCTGACGGCCGCCCAGCCTGCTGGCTGCATCCGGGTGGCGGCGCGTTGCCGGTGGAGACGCGCAGATCACGGGCTAGGGCCGAGCCTGCGGTCAGCGCAGAGCTGGGCCCAGGGACAATGGGCCAGAGGGGACTAGGGTTCCCAGGCCCGGGGTGGAGCTAGGCCAAGGGATGAGATGACAGGGGTAAGAACGTGCTGACGAGTGTCTTCCGCTAGGGGCCGGGCCGGGACGCTCCCGCTCGCTGCCTGTGGAGACCCGCCGGTGGAAGAGAGGGACCCTGTTGGGCCCCGCGGGTCAGCCTCGGGGGTTGGGCCTAGGGATAATGGGGCCCGGAGGTGGGGGGTGCCCCAGGCCTGGGGGAGGGGCTATGACATGGGATGAGACGACAACGGCGGGAACGTGCTGACACGTGTCCTCTGCAGGAGCCTGGGGCGGGGTGGGGGACACCCCCAGGGGGTAGCCGGGGAAGACCCCCACCCCCCGCTCCGCGCGAAGCTGCGGCACCGCCCGTGCCTTCCTGTTCCGCCTCCAGTCCGACGCCGCCGAAGCCCCGGCGCTGGCCCGGCTGCCGCCGGTGCCGCCTGCGTTCAGCCAGCCGCGCACGTCCGCCCACGGTGCCCCGCCTGCCGGATGGACTCCGGCGCCCGGCTGCGCGCCCCGACCCACCTCCCCTAGCCGCCCCGCTCGCCACGCTGCTCCTAGCTCCTCCCAGCCCAGCCGAGGCCCCGCCCCTTCCCGCGTCCTTCCCGTCGCGGGTGCGGGGTTATGTCCGCCACGCCAGACCCCTAGACGCAAGGTGTGCGGCCCCGGTGGAGTCGCCTACGCCCCTGCATGCCTTCCTCACAGAAGCCCTGGGGGGAACTGACCCGCACTTGTATTTATCTTTGTTCCAGCTCCGCGAACTGAGCCTGTTTGTCTCGCCTGGGGAATTGCTAACGACCTAGGCCCAATCGTTTCTCTCCAAAACCCTCCTCGCCAGAGCCATTTAACACCCAGGGCTACTGGGTCTCAAAGTGCTGTACTGCTTACCCATAGCCAGATGGAGTGAATCTGGAATTCACATCCAGGTCTGAAAACTAAAAGATCTTTCCTCTGCTTTTCAGCCTCCAGAATTCACTGCATTGCTTGTCTCTGGCCTCTCCCTCAAGATGTAGCAAGATCCTCCTTTGGGGTCTTGTCAGTAAAAGAGCCAGGCAAAGAAAGTAATGGGGGAAGCCAGAGGGGAAATTGACCTAAATTCAGGAGGGAAGGGACTAGACTCCCAACCCCTCTCCCAATTCACAACCCCATTAGAGAAAACCCCAGTTTGGCCTCACTGTCACAGGGAAATCTAAGCGTAGGTAATTGCTAATTCCTAGATCAGGAAGCCCCCCTCAGTACCCTGCCCCCAGCTCCTATATGCCAGCATCCTCTGAGAGAGGCGCTTCCCCTTCTTCCCCAGCCAGGCTGAGCTGAACTCTGGATTCAGAGAAGAGGTGGTCTGTAACTTTCGACTGTATTTATGACTTTGGGAGGAAGATCAATATTGGACTCCCAGACACCACATGGCTTCCCAGGCCAGGCAATGAGTATTGGCTGCTCCCAGGAGTCCACATCAAACCTCCGGTTTCTATGAAGACCGGCCTGGTCCAGACACATAAAAAAGTGTTTTAGACCCTTATGTCTTCAGACAAGACCCCTAGTGTCCCCCGGACCTCATGGGACCCAGGAACTAACATGGCTGCTGGAGCTCAGGCCCAGAAGGGCAGTGTGTACAGCAGGAGGGGCTAGAGACCTGAGAACCCTCCTTCATTCCACCTCTTCTTCACTGCGGCCCCTTAGACAAGGCCAACTCCTTGGCCTCAAGTGTTGTTTGTGGGATGAAAACAAATTTGCTTTCTAAATCTGTTTTCTCACACATGAAATGATTAACCAACTGAGCCACCCAGGCGCCCCTATCACACATGAAATGAAAATCATCGTAAAATACCCACATCCCAAGGGGGTGTGGGAATCCCTCTGAAGATGCAGTCCTCAGAGTCTGGGCATTCTACAGAGCAAGCTCAGCTAACTAGTTCCGTGTCATTGTGTTTGTTTCCTTTTTTTTTTTTCTTTTTAAGTCGACTTATTTTTTAGTAATTTCTACCCCAATGTGGGGCTCAAACTCACGACCCTGAAATTAAGAGTCCCATGCTCTTCCACCTGACCCAGCCAGGCACTCCCGTTTATTTCCTTTTTATATTTTTTAAAAACAACTTTGCAGAAATATAATCCACAGTACCCCCATTTAAAATGTAAAACGCAATCGTTTTTAGTTTATTCACAGATATGTATAACCATCACTGCAGTCAATTTAAAACATTTTCATCACATTCAAAAGAAATCTTAGGTACTTAGTACATCTAGTACATGAGGATGAAGTGTTTTTCCATTTATCTGGATCTTTAAAAAATTTTTTCAACAATGTTTTGTAGTTTTGTGAATAGAAGTCTTGTCCTTCTTTAATTAAATTTATTCCTACATATTTCATTCTTTTTCATGCCATTATGAATGGAATCATTTCTTAATTTCATTTGTTTAAGTGGGACTTAAACTCAAGAGTAGCATGCTTTTTGTATATCCTGTATCCTCCAAATTTTCTGAATGTGTTCACCAGTTCTAACAGGTTTTTTTTGGTACATTTTAAATTTATCTAAATATAAGATTATGTCATCTGTGAATAGAGATAAATTTACTTCTTTCTTTCCAATGCAGATACTTTATATCTATTTATCTTGCCCTGATTAGAACTTCCAGTACAGGGGCGCCTGGGTGGCTTAGTCGGTTAAGCGTCCGACTTTCGCTTAGGTCATGATCTCGCGGTTCGTGGGTTCGAGCCCCGCGTTGGGCTCTGTGCTGACTGCTGGCTCAGAGCCTGGAGCCTGTTTCAGTCTGTGACTCCCTCTCTCTCTGACCCTCCCTTGCTCACGGTGTCTCTCTCTCTCTCTCTTAGAAATAAATAAAAAATATTTAAAAAAAAAAAAAAAAAGAACTTCCAGTACAATGTTGAATGGAAGTAGTGACGGTGTATATCTCATCTTGTTCTTGATCTTACCAGGAAATCATACATGCTTTTTTTGAGTATGATGTTAGCTGTGGGTTTTTCAGAAATGCCCTTGGCCAGGTTGAAGAAGTTCTATTTCTAGTTTGTTGAGTGTTTTTCTCACTGTGAGAGTGCTGGATTTTGTCAAGTACTTTTTCTGCATCTATTGGATGATCATGTGGTTTTTGTTTCTCATTCTATTGATACAATGTATTATAGTGATTTTCAGATGGTTAAAACAATCTTGCATTTAGTGGTGATAAATCCCACATACTTATGGTACATGATTCTTTTGATATGTTGCTGGATTTGGTTTGCTAGCATTTTGTTGAGGACTTTTGCATCCATATTCATAAAAATATTGGTCTGTAGTTTTGTTGTTATGTCTCTGTCTGGTTTTGGTATCAGGATAAAATTGGCTTCATAGAATGAGTTGGGAAGTGTTCACTTCCCTTCTATTTTTTGGAAGAGGGTGAAGAATTGATATTAATTCTTGTTTAAATGTTTGGTAGAATTCAGCAGTAAAGCCAGATGAGCCTGGGCTTTTCTTTGTGGGTAGCTGTTTTGTTTTGTTTTGTTTTTTAAAGTTTATTTAATGGGGGGGGGGGGCATAGAGAGAATCTTGATGTAGGGCTCGAACCCACAGACTGTGAGATCATGACCTGAGCTAAAACTGAGAGTCAGATGCTTAACAGACCAAGCACTCAGGTACCCCTATTTTGTTTTTTGTTTTTACTAATTCAGTCTCTTTACTTGTGATCAGTCTATCAAATTGTCTATTCTTTTTGTATCAGTTTTGATAGAGTGAGTCTTTAAGAATTGTCTATTTCACCTAAGTTTTCTAATTTATTGAAATATAATTGTTCATAATATTCCTCTATAATTCTTTTTATTTCTGCAAGGTAGGTAGTAACGTCCTTTCATTCATTTCTGATTTTAGATTTTTTTAAAGATTTTTTAAAAGTAATCTCTATATTCAACATGGGGCTCGAACTCATGATCCCAAGATCAAAAGTCACATGCTTCACCAACTGAGCCAGCCAGGTGCCCCTGATTATTTTTTTAAAAATGTTTTTAAATCTTTTTTAGCATCTGTCTACAGAATCATAGTTTCTCTCCTTTGACCTACCTCTTTTAAAAAATGTTTTTAATGTTTATTTTGAGAGAGAGCATGCATGTGCACACCATGCGCACAACTAGGGGAGGGACAAAGAAGAGAGATAGAATCCCAAGCAGGCTCTGCACCATCAGCACAGACCCTGATATGAAGCTTGAACTCACAAACCACCAGCCATGAAATCATGACCTGAGCCAAGATCAAGAGTTTGACACTTAACCAGCTGCACCACCCAGGCACCCCCAGGTGCCCCTGATTTTATTTAATTGCTTAATTAATTTATTTATTTTGGGGAGCTTGCAATCAGGGGAGGGGCAGAGAGAGAGGCCAACGCAGGACCCTGAGATCATGACCTGAGCCAAAATCAAGAGTCAGATGCTTAACCAACTGAGCCACCCAGAAGCCCTAAGTTTTGTCACTTTTGTTGGTGTTATCAGCAAACCAGCTTTTGGTTTCATTGTTTGCTCTATTATTTAATAGTCTTTCTTTCATTAAGTTCTGCTCCAATCTATTTTATTTCCTTTCCTCTGCTTGTTCAGGTTTAGTTTGCTCTTCTTTTTTGAGAGTGTTAATTAAGGTGAAAGTTTTGTTTATTGTTTTGAGAACTTTCTCCTTTCTTTTTTTTTTAATTTTTTTAATGTTTTTTATTTATTTCTAGGAGAGAGAAAGACAGCGTGAGCAGGGGAGGGTCAGAGAGAGAGGGAGACACAGACTCTGAAATAGGCTCCAGGCTCTGAGCTGGCAGTCAGCACAGAGCCCGATGCGGGGCTCTAACCCACGAACCGCGAGATCATGACCTAAGCGAAAGTCTGACGCTTAACCGACTAAGCCACCCAGGTGCCCCAAACTTTCTCCTTTCTTAATGTAAGCATTTACACCTATAAATTTTCCTCTGAGCACTGCTTGAGAAAATTTGTAAGTTATGAATTTATAAAAGTTCCTCTAAGCACTGCACTATATTCAGCTGCATCCCATCAGTTTTAATATGTTGTGTCTTCATTTTCATTAAGCTCAAGTGTTCTCTAATTTCTCTTTTGATTTCTTTTTTTGACATGTTGGTTATGTAGGAGTGTGTCATTTAATTTCTACCTATTTTTGAGTTTCTCAAATTTCTTTGTGGTCAGAGAACCACATTTCATTTCATTGTGGTCAGACAACACACTTTGCATTACTTCTATTATTTTAATTTATTGAGCTTTGTCTTATGGACTACCACATGCCTATCCTGGAGAATGTTCCATGGGCACCTGAGAAAAAATGTATATTCTGCTGTTTTTGGGTCAAGTATTGTATAGATGTCTCTTAGGTCTCATTGTCTTATGGTATTTTCAAATCTTATATTTTCGTATTGATTGTCTATCTGGTTGTCCTATCTAATGTTGAAAGTAGAATATTGAAGTCTCTATTACTGTGGAATTTTCCATTAATTTATGTTAGCTTTGGCTTCATGTATGCTTTCTTATTGGTGCTATATGTTCATAA